GGATTGACGACTGAGCTGGCGAAGCGGCGAGACGTTGGGGAAGGCAGGACGGAGGAGACTGCCACGGAACCCCCGAGAACACGAGCGTCAGGGGCGCTCACGCTCACGGCTCAGGCCGAAGAAAATGAGCAGCTCAAGAGGCAACTCAGAGCTGCTCAAGAAGAGCAAAAGAAGATGGCGGAAGACTTGGCGGCGCTTCGCCTGGAGGTGGAGCGCCTGAAGAAGACACCGGCCGGTGGGGCGCCACCTCCGGCTGAACGGAGACTGGAGCCGGCAAGAAAAACGCGCCGGAGAGTCTTGTCGTCCTCCGAATCAGAACGGGAGGACGTCAAGAGGAGAATGGTGGCGAAAACAAATAGCCCGCCGCCGGAACTCATTGTCACAGCGGAAGCAATGGATGAGCCTCCATCATCGATAATGGAGATGGAGGAAATGCGGCCTGTAACAGAAGGGACGACGATGGACCCGGTCCCGACGCTGCAGCGGGAGGTGAGGCCGGAGGAGGCCCCAAAAACAAGGAAGCCGCCGAACGGAGATGCGGTGCCAGACCAAGCTAGGGGCTCAGAGAAGAGTGACGCCCCTACAACTGGACTGGAGACGGTTGTTGCGCACTTAGTGCGTAAAGTAGAAGAACTGTCCGAGGAGCTACGGGGAAGGACTAAGGAGAGGGCGGTCAGCAGGAACGTCCAACAGAAGGCCCAGCCTAAGCCGCAACCGCGGGCGGCACCAAGGAGGGCAAAGACTTTCGCGGAGGTCGCCAAGAGTGCGGCTGCGACCAAGGTCGCACCGGTTGCTCCCCCGGCAGCCGCCGCACCATCGGGGGAGTCATGGACCACGGTCCTCGGCCGCAAGGCTAGAAAGGAAGCCAAAAAAGCCGATCAGCCTAACGTCAAGGCTGGGGCTAGCCGCCAACAGGCGGCGAAGAGGACGGCGCAGGTGGCGCCGAAGAACACCGCGGGCCAGAAGAGGGTGACGGCGCCGCGGCCACCCAGGATGGCGGCGGTTACCCTGACTGTGACACAGGGGGCCAAGGTAACGTACGCTGAGACGCTACTAAAGGCCAGAGAGGCGGTAAACCTGACCGAAATGGGGATCCACGACATCAAGGTCAGGAAAGCCATAACAGGGGGTATCGTCATCGGCCTCCCGGGTGAAGAGAGCAAGAGGAAGGCTACTGAGTTGGC